TGGAGTTTTATATAAAGATATAAAGTGCATTGACCAATAAAATCAGTACTAAAAGACGTATACAAAAATTATTGGAAAAAAAATTTTAAGCTTCGCTTGAGGAAAGCTCAAAGCTTTCTAAGCAGTATTCAGTCAGTAAAATAAAAAAAATAGTTCTGAAAATTTATAGAAAGTGCTTTTAAACGCTTCAATTATTTAAAGCTTTCACTTGAGGAAAGCTAAAAGCTTTGTAAGCCGAACTTGTACGTTTTCAATCAATAAATTCACTGCTGAGAAATCAGATCTGAAAAACTATAAAAAGTTCTTTTAAAAGCTTTAATTATTTAATAGTTTCACTTAAGGAAAGCTTAAAGCTTTTTGAGCAGAATCTGTTCGCATTTAATCAGTAAAATCGCTGGTAAGAAATTATATCTGAGAGATTATAAAAACTGCTTCAATTGTTTAAAAGCTTTCACTTAAGAAAGCTCTGTAAAAACMTAAGTTTATTTTTCTTCGCGTTTTGAATATAAGAACCTGTCTGACCACCACACATCCAAATATTATGCATAGAGATTTACTTACAAGCCCATAAATATGTATGTAAGTATATAAATATATATGTATCGAATGTAGAATTGTTCGAATGTGTGTTTTTGTGTTGATGAATGAGTGATGAGTGATGATTGCACGTGGGTTACATGCGTTTCTGAAGGCCGGATATAACTTTGGTTGCTGCTACGCTTGTGTGTGCGTGTGCGCATGCGTATAAATTTGCTGGTGCATTCGTGTATATATATATGTGTGTGTGTGTGAATATGCACTCTCTCGTTTACAGTTATTTATTATGTATATATAATTTTAGAAACTCCATTTTTTGCTGCAAATTCACTTATCGCCTTTCTTCATTTCTATTTCACTTATAAAAATAGTCTTTCATTCTGTTTAATGCTTCAATTTACAATATGTTTGTGTGCACTTGTGTGTGTGTGTGTTATAAATGAATGCCTTAAATAAGAAATATTATTATTTTATTTTTTGTACAATTCTTTATTTGCGCCACATAAGACTCTTCTTCAGTCCATCTTTACAATTTACACACACGCGTTTTTCTTTTGCTTTTAGAATACAAGCAAGATTTTTTCTGTTCAAACAAAATTCTAAGAAATTTCCTACTTTTCGAGAGCAATGTTTCACACTTTGGAAAATACCAACTATAAGAAAATAATAGAATTTGGAAAAAATACAAAACAAAAAAAAAAAAAACATTCCCAACGTTAATGCCAAATCGTCTAAATAAAAACAAAGTAGCTAGTAACCAAACTGAGAAAAATATTTAGTTAAATTTTGAAAATACAACTTTCCAATGTTGAGTTAAGCCAAATTAGCAAAAACAAAAACCAAACAAAATTTTGAAAATATTTTTGTTAAACATTCTTTCACGCGCTAAACGCTAGTTTTGTTTAATCAATCATCCAAAATGTATAAAACTAAKACCAAACATAATTGTAATAAAAAAAATTATGGTTAAGCAAACGAATTTTGAATGAAACATATTTTTGAGAGCATAAAAGGAAGCAATGGATCGACAAAGGATGTGCTTGTGTCGGTGTATGGCGTTTGAATGGGTTAATTTAGGGTGTTTGGGTAGTTGATTGGTTGTGTGGGTGTGTGGTTGTGTAGGAGGTGTGGTAGTGTGGATTAGCATATAAATTAGATTAGAATGTAGTGGTTAAGATAAATTTTGACACTCACAAATCCAATTGATCGTAGTATAGAAAATCGTCTGCATCGCCGAGTAGCTGCGCGCGCGTCATTGTCGCTTTGCCACCGCTCGTTGCCAGTGTTGCGGTAGCAGCCGCCGAKGAAGCAGGCGGCACTGCCGCCGCGCTCTCCTCACTTTCGTCGTACATATCGTCAGCGTCGTCGTCCGCGTCATCTTCATCTGACGCGCTACTGAGCTGTCCGACTACGTCTTCAACGTGTTCTTCCTCCTCGCTGGCTTCCGCTTCCGTTGAGTCCTCGCGCGAATTACCATTATCAGCGGTCGCCGCCTCCGCCGCCGTCGCCGCCGCGCTCGCTTGTTGCAAATCATTCTCCATGGAGTTGGTGTAGCGTACATTGCGTTGTTCGCGCTCACGTTCGACGCGCACGCTTGTCGCCTCAGCGCGCGGGTCTAAACTCTCTTCTACTTCCGCGCTGCCAAGTTCGGTGGTGGTGGGCGTCATTRAGAGCGCCGTYGCTATTGTCGTGCTTTCAGTATGTTGGCGCGTTGTAGTTGTAGTTGCGGCCGTGGTAAGCGTACTGCTGCTGGTCGCCTGCGTAGTGCTGGTGGTACTTTTTGCTGGTGACTGCTTTTTAAGTTTCTTTTGCGCATGTGCGCCACCATTACGTCCTTTCTTGCGGTTTGCGCCGCTATTGCGATTGCCCATKCCACCGCCACCTGCTTGCCGGCCATTCGCATTCAACTTCTTGCCGCGCCGGTTATTTGCGCCTTCGGCGCCAAYGCTATTGCGGTTATTAGCATCTTGATTTTGATTTTGGCGATTCTTCTTAACAGCACCGCCACCACTACCGCCGCCGCCACCATTCTTCTTTTTCTTACATTCCGCTGGTAGTGGCATAAGGGGCACTTCTTCGCCCTTCGCTTTAAGCTGCCTTCTTTGCTGTTGCAGCTCTCGACACTTCTTATTATTGAGCTTGCGTAGCGCTAGCGGCGTCATTTGGCAATTGTGCTCCTCCTCGTTCTCGTGTGGCCGGCACTTTCGCCGCTTCTTCTTCTTCTTGCCGCCGCCACCATTGTGATTCTGATGGCCGGGCGCACTTTGACTACTATTACCGCTAGTATGGCTGTCATTACTCGCCATCGGACTATTGCTAATACTACTACTCATGCTATTGRACGTGTTGGCGCTCCGCTGGCCACCCCGACCGTTGTGGTTGCTATGGCTATTTGTGACTGTGCTGCTTTGTGACTCGCCTCTTTCATTGGCAACAGGAACGTTGTTCATTGTTTGGCCGCTAATACTACTACTACCGCTATCACTATCACTACCTATAAGACTACTTCTACTGCTGCTGCTGCTGCTGCTACTCTTTCTGCTACTACTATTACTATTACTATTGCTACCGCTATTGTTATTACTAGAATTTGGATTGCACTTGGGGAGCGCTTTGAAGTGTTTGCTATCGATTAGGTCGACCAATGGTTTGCCCGTATCACAGAGTTGGCGTATGCCGTGCTTAATGCGATTCTCGCCGAAATTCTTCGCTATCAGTTGTTCGACGCGTACATCATCCACCGTTTCGGTGATGGCGTTCGTATAGGTGGCTAGTTTGCCAAGCGAGCGGGTTGGCGGTATTTGCAGCTTACGCGGCTCGCCGTGCCGATTCAGCGCTAAGTAGTAGACGCGCCGTGTATTCGAATTGTAGGTGGATGAATAAGTGTTGTAGTTGTGCTGCTCCATGTTCTCGTTGAACACACAATCGTCGGTGAATTCTTGCTGCAAATACAGAAAAATTAAGAAAATATGAGTTCCATATGATGATTTAAACTTTTACTGAAGAATTGTTAGACTTTATTCCCAAATACAATTTTATAATTTATTTTAGTAATTGAAAACATCATTGTACAGGAAATTGTGTCGATTAAGCATTTTTTGTTTGTTTAATTTGTGCGTTATTATTTCRCTTGCAAAACTCTCGACTTGAAAACCTTCCACAGAACTCGAAATAGTATAGAATAGCCGCCTTTTGTGCCACATCTGTCGTCAAGCAATGCGACAAGGTGGCGTCTGCAGTACCCGAAAACAATAAACTAAAATAGAAATTAGCAAAAAATGCAACATTGTTGCCAAACGCGCAAGTCAAGATAAGATGYTTCACGCAATTTTGTTTTCTACCCTACAAATAGTCCACGTTGCTCATTGTTTTTTTGCTATKGTTTTATTCTGAGTGTAATTGGCTGGTGTACAAGCCTGTTGTTTTATGACGGTATTGTTGGCAGGAGAAGCATTTCTTTAAATCAAAGTGCAAAACTTGTTATTGGCGAAAGCTCTAAGATGTAAGCTTTTTGTGCTTTAATTTTTCCATCATAGCTAAGATTTTTCCATTTGGAATAAGCTCGTATGGATTTATATTATTTTAAAGCTTAGTGTCCTGACATTATTTTTTTCTTAGCACGATGGTGCCCTTGGCATTGTTTGGRGACTCGTACTTATAATGCAAAACTTTCTATTGGCGAAAGCTCTGAGATGGAAGCTTTTCGTGCTTTCACTTTTCCATTATAGCTACGATTTTAACATTTTGGAAAAAGCTCTTAATATCATACCATATTGTTTTAAAGCTTTGTGTCGTGACATCATTTATTCTCTACGTGTTATGTGCCTAATTCTTCGCTGTATAAATTTGAATTGGTCCAAGGCTTGAATATTTGCTACACACATCGCTCTATAAACTGGCTCGTAAGCATTTCAGTTTGAGATTTTTAGTCTGTCATTTACTCTGCTAAAGCTTGAAGTTGTGGATGCTCAGATAGTTATCGCTCAGCAAGTAGAAAGCTTTACTTTCARTATTTAGTATTTTCATAAAGTTCTTACAAAGAAAAAGATCGCAATATTGCGCCTGCTACCCTGCCTCCCCAAATGCAAATGTTTTGTTTTGATTTGTCTGACTCATTTTTATTCTTCTTCTCTGTTTTCTCTCAACCCAAAATCGAATGTCTTTCAAGTGTTAAGCTGTCTTTGTTCATTGCGCAATTTTTATTTTTCTGTTGACATTCACAACTCAAAAAGGTGTTGAAAATTAAACCACCGAATTGCTGGCTGTTCGAATTTTCGCCCATTGCCCAACCAATCGCTTAGTGCTGCGTCAATATCGAAGGCGTTAGATATTTGCTGTCAKTGTTTGYATAGGCGCTCACGTGGGGTAGGCCARTCGCGGCATCGTGTCGGTGAGTGTGAAGGGAATGCGCTATATAAAGCGCTTAAATTAAGGCGAATTGTCGAATTCTACCTAGCCATCTATCCATCATTAGCATTATGCCTAAGTGTGCCAGACAAATATAAATATTTATGTTGGCTACGCGCGGTAAGYGATAAGTGCAAATAACAAATCGCTTCCAAAGCGCTCACTTTACCATTTTACACGATTAACCGACAAATTAAAGAAGCTGCATTTCGTAACACACACTCTGCGCGCCTTACGGCTAATTGTCGTTACCCGCGCTGCTCCATGGAATCTTTAATTTTTTGGTTAATTTTTTTCTTCACACTTTTCAATATTTTCATTGTATCCATTCTGCTTTCTAGCGGTTTTGCAAAGTTTTAGCACTTTACGTCGGCTGTTTATGTGCTTATTTTGCCTACCAACAACTCGCCATCAGACAGGCGGTGAGTCAGACCGCCAAGCGCGCCTCTTAATGAGCGCGCTAATGCKTCCAGTGTTGYATTTAAATGCATTGGCGCTTCCTTTCATCCTTTCCGTGCGRGTTTTTCGGTTTTTTAAATGGCATACATATTTGCTTTGAAAAACATCTTTGCAGTTTAGTTGTTTTCATTTCGCTGTCTTGTGACTGCTGCCGTTTTTATTTACTCGCATTTTTAATATTTTTGTTATTGTTTTCGCTAGTGTTCTTTATGATAGTGATAATGATGAGTGCGCACAGGCGTATGACGCTCAGGGATTTAGCATGTGGGTGTCGTTTTATGAGCAACTAATAATCACATAGCCACAGTTATAAAGGGTGTTTCAAAAGGAATATTAATGTACACAAAAATTTATCATTTCGTAYGAAATGTCGATTGTTATTACCAATAATATGAGGAAGGCAGGTAGGTAGGTGGAGTGGCTGTCTGACGACGCACCTAGGGCTTTAGGAGGTCCATTATGAAACCTCACTCTATTGTCCACCCTCTGAACCACCCCGCGCTTCTGTCATGTTTTTTTTTTTTTATATATTTGCAATATCTAAAACCAAATACTATTGGGAAGGAAAGCAYTCTTTGTTTGTCTTAACTATAGAACATCTCAAAGCTCGCGAAAAAGCTCAAGTTGTAAAATATGATAGAGATCGCACATTTATGTAAGCTCAACTGTTCAACTGACTAAAAGTAGTGTGAATTTCTTCGTTTCTGCCTCTTTGTATATATTTTAACACAATTTGTCATTGAAACATTTATAAGATTTTAAAAATGAAAATTCCAAGCAAGCCTTAAACAAATTTCATATAAAACACAAAAGCTTTCATGACTATGAAAGCGCCTAAAGCTCAGCTCAAATTTCCTTATACTCGAACAAACTCATATAAAACACAAAAGCTTTCATGACTGTGAAAGCGCCTAAGCTCAACACAACTTTTCTAGATAAAGCTCAAGGGMCCTGCCAGTAGCGCCATCTGACAAATCTTTCGCATTTGAAATATATATTTTTTTCATTTGAAATATTTTTTTATTTTTTATTTTGGACTACTCAAAAGCTACGCGGTAATAAATAGCGAACAATTAGATAACGACTTCCATTTTTCAACAGCTTCTCACACCTTTTTGCCACCATTGCCGCAGCTGTCCAACGTTTAAACTTTACTCTAGCGGCAAGCAAGCCATTTGTCGTTGACAAAAGTGTGTCAAATGCTCGAATATTTCTCACCGCCGTATGCTTCAGCAGCAACGTGTCTAATATTATGTGTCGATGTCTCACTATTGACATGATAGCGCTACAGTGGATCTGCTGTGGGTATCACTAAAAATATCCGATTTAATTTGCGCTCTTTCTTCCCTCGCTTTTTGTCTCATTCTTATATGCTTATATGTCTGTATGCATGTGTAAGTGTGCAGTTTGTCTCGTTAARTGCACGCTTTTTATAGGAAGCAGAGAACTAAAATTGAATTTGGCCCACTGCCCAGACGGCACTCACCGCATACTTTACTTACAGGCATGCATCAGCACATCGTCTCTTTAGTGCCACATTAATTGCGGTATTTTTATGGACATRCCGTTGCATGCATATTTTGTTGAAACATGCACACATACATATATATTCATATAAATACAGATTTAGGCGCTTCTGAGCTCACATGCCACACCTTAGAAATTTATTGAAAGTGATATACTTTAGTTCCGTTCATAAATTGTGGCRTCTTGTGACTTTTCGTAAGCACTGTATGGTGGGCAAAAGTGTCCACTTATATGTATATGATTTGTATAATCTAATTTGTGCCCAAAGCGGCCACATGATCAGGTCCACCGCTCCGCATTTGGGACACATTTTAATGTTAGGCATAAATATTTTTTTAGACAGCTCATGTGTACTTCTGTGGCAAGTTTTTGTATAAAAATTATGACAATTGCTGAAACTGTTTTTCGTGCGACAAAAATTGATTTTTTTGCCAAAAGCATAGTAGAGAAAGAGCATATATTACAAAAATGAAGGCTATAATTTACAAAGTTTACCAGCATTTTGAAAAATTTKGTATGCCTTAATGCCGTAGGACGACCTTTGAAAAAAGGAAGATTTTTCTGCTTAAAATGTTTTTAAATCTAAAACAAAAAAAAAAAAGAAAAAAATATATATTACTGTAGATGAAAGCCGGCAGTGATCGACGTTCTAGGAAAAATTTTGATTTTTCCAAAGAAAATTTTTGTTAAAAAATTTGCCCTTAAATGTCGCTTAAAAATCAGAACTCTTACGGCTTCGTCCATACTGATAAATATCCTTAAAATCGACGTGTGAACCCGGTCATTTCGAAAACATTTTTGAGCCCAATTCTGAAAACAGTGTTTCGAGAAAATGCGTTAAAAKTTGGAGCAGCCGATTACACATAAGAGAAAAAATTACTAAAAATAATGGTTCATTTACACGCTCAATTTCGAATGTAAATGCTTTTAAACAGCAAAAGATGAGTGAAGTGAGGATTTAAACCTAAAAATATATTCAGACATATTTTTGAGGCTTTGTTCTAACATTAATTGAGTGCTAATGTTCTCAACATTTTTTTTTATCAAATCTCCGAAATGTAGGCAACACTTTTAGAAGGACTGCAAATCACCAGCTTTAACTTAATATTTGTTTTTTAATGAAGTTTTTTTTATGTATAAAAGGTTTCATTAAGACCGATACTGACAATTTTCAAAATCTCCTTTGTAATTAATTGCTTAAAATGCGCCTAAATGCAGACAAGAACTTTAGTAAAGATACATACCACTTTAGTGAAGATACCAGACTTTAGTAAAGATACAATCAAATGCGCTTGGCTGCTGGGAGAATACAGTGTTATTGAGCAAACCAAAATTGACTAGAGCATATTTTTCTTAAAATTATTATGGAAATCATTTTGTTTTCGTATTTTTCTAAAGTGCTTCGATAAGCAACCACCCCCACTAGCTTCAAAATCATAGTACTTCATATAATGCTTAGACAATAAATAGCTGTCAATAGCTCATTGCAGGAAGACCTGCCTTTAACTGAACGTTTCTAAGTCAGGCACACAACATACCTTTTATCCAC